CCCAAAACCCCAAAAACCCCAAAACCCCAAAACCCCAAAACCCCAATTTAGTCAAAACTATTGAATAACACTATGAGATCTAGATTTATCATTAGAGATTTATCTAATCCTCAATAAAACTAACCCACTCATTTTAACTTTCAATTCTCTTGCCGCATTCCCTCTATTTACATTAATCTTCTGCACACACTATCCTCAAGCACTCTCCCACTCTAATACCTTATCTAAAACTCCAAACCCATTCTTCTTAAAGCCTATGACTTTGCTCGGCTTCAAACTGAGGCTTCTCAGTCTGCTAAATTTAGCTTATCGCTTCCCTCTGGTTGCTTCTGGTCGGGGCTTACTCACCAGAATCCCAAATCCTTCTGTGCCTCCAATTTCTTCTAAAAAACCACTGAAATCCCATACAAAATTACTGATTTTGGCAGTGAAATTTCGGCAAATTTTAAGTGCAGTTTTGGACTTTAGAAAGAGTCCGAACAAGAATTGAACTAGTAAAATATATGGGCACCATTTGGTGTGAAGAGGAATCAAGGGTTTATTAGGATTCTGATAGTCTGGATTGGATCTTGAGAGCAAGCTTGTGCCAGTCTGTTAGGAATACACAAGAAGCAACCAGGCCTGTGCATAGGATGGATCCAAAGATCCATGCGGAGAAGATTCCTATAACTCCGTAATTGTATGTTATTCCTAGGATATAAGCGAGAGGAATGAGGAAAAGGAAATACGAGAATATATTTATCAGGCTTCCGTATTTCTGATAACCCATGGCTACCATCACCCCAAAAAGACTGCTCTGAAGGAAATCTGTTGGGTTTATAATCATAAGTATGAGGAAAAGCTTTGCACCAATTTCAATTACTGTTTGGTCGCCTGAAAAACTCATTATTTGATATCTGAGGAAATATAGAAAGCTCATCGTAAAAATGATGGGGATTCAGGTAACCAACATTGAGGCAATAGCATATTGTTTCCCATTTCTAGGATCATTGTTCCCCAATCAATTGCCTACTAGGTTTGAGGTAGCCATAGATATCCCAGATGTAAATCTGTAGAATGCTGAGTAAATATTCCAAGCTGTAATGGCTGCTGCTTGCTGTTTGGATCCTCACCAGCCTGAAAATATCATCAGAATTTCGCAAACCCAATACTCCAGACTTCTCATCAATGTGGAAGGAATGGCATAGCGTATAAACTCTTTCAATCCTTCAAAGGACCCAAGGCTGTAGTGCCAGGCTTCCCTATGAATCTTGGTAGTTTTCATACAAAATATAGTCAGAAGGATCAAACTCATCACATTTGTGACCAGGTTTGCAAAAGCAAGGGATTCTACTGTTAACAAGGAATTATAGTGGAGTCCATCCAGGATTGAAATATGTAGGCAGAAGCAAGCTGCTTGAATGTAGACTATCACATTATAAACACCTTGAGCAATCAAGTACCTTCTGAGTCCCTCAAACTGTACAGAACAATATAATCCTACCAATTGGTACCTGATGAAGGTTTGACAGATTCTGGATGCCTCTTCTGGTTGACCAATCATCTCTAATAAATCTCCGATATAATAAAGCAATAATAATTGAAAGATGAATACTACCGAAGAAACCACTCTGTAGCGATTTAGGTAATACCCACAAAGATGATATTTCTTATTTCCAAAAGCTTGTGAGGCAAGTGTGTCGATCGTGCTCGACATACCCCAGGAAACTGAAAAGATTAAAGCATTATAGGATAAAAGCCCCAAACCGACACCTGCAATGATATCTGATTCGGAGAAAATTTGCATATTTTTGGAAAAAGAAGAAATTTTTCCTGAAAAGAATATGTTGGTTATATCAATCATGTGCTTAAAAACCGTTCCGAAAAAGGCAGGGACGGCTCTTTTAGCAAGCTCTTTAGTCGCCATTGTAATCTCCACCTTCTCAATTATCTGTGAACTTTTGGAATCAGCAAGAAGTTCATCGTCCCAAGACTTATTTGAATCTGAGATATTGAAGCTATTCATTATTTTTTATTTTTCAACTTAAAATTCCTCAAACGGGGTTTTGGGGTTTTGGGGTTTTGGGGTTTTGGGG